ATTAACAACCACTTATGAATCTTTTTTCGGATTACACCCATTATCTCAAGTTTTGGATCGAACTAATCCATTGACACAAATAGTTCATGGAAGAAAATTGAGTTATCTGGGCCCTGGAGGATTGACAGGGCGAACTGCTAGCTTTCGTATACGAGATATCCACCCTAGTCACTATGGACGCATTTGCCCCATTGACACGTCTGAAGGAATCAACGTTGCACTTATTGGATCCTTAGCAATTCATGCGAAGATTGGTTATTGGGGGTCTCTAGAAAGTCCGTTTCATGAAATTTCTTATAGTGACCTAGGTTCTTTTTGGAGAAGTGGCATCCAACTTTCCAGTTGGGGATGACTTCTTCTTAAGCAATTTGATCGGTACTTCATCCAATTCTCTTGGATCTGTGTCTGAAATTTCCTCGACTCCACTATTTTAAATAGGTATTCAACGTTAAATGGTATGAATATATGGAAATTTGAAATTGATAGTTGTGAAAACAATTACGGCATAAACCTTTGTTCACCGACGGTGAAAAGAGCTCTCCTAATCGATTCCCTCTTCCGTTTATATGATTGCTCGGTGGTTTTAGTTGTTGAAGTAGAAGATGAAACAACGGTGGAGGACACTGTGATTTCTCTTAACAAAGGTTGCGAAGTCATTGGTTGCATAGTCATATCCTTAGTCACATTGTGAATGAGCACATCGTTTGAATTAAAAGTATTCCTCATGTTGCCAAATCACAGGTGAAAAATCTTCTTTTGTCAAATAAGCCTGAGAAACTCGTTTGGTAGTTGTCATTGCTCCACCAACTGCTGATTCATTACCAGGTATTTGCAGGACATGCCAAAAAGTTTCTTGTCACATTTACTGAATTATTAAAGCATTCATTTCATTTGTTTCATCTTCGAGAATGAGATTGATTCAATAGGTAAAAAAGTAGAATGAAAATAAATTACACACATGTAGTAATATAACAATCATATGTAACCAAATAGGCTAAATAGCCAAAATGGTTCCTAAGATTTGCATAACACATTACTTTGGTCCCTAAGATTTCAAATCAATAGAAGTGGTCATTGAGATTGTCCACCATCCATCATTTTGGTTCTTCCGTTAAGTGTCCCGGAGCTCTTGACCGGAAGTTTGGGCAATTTTCAAAGCTTTGTAACTCAATCGTTTCTTAACCAAATTCGACCTATAATATATCAAAATGAAGATAGGAAAGTGTAGAACAAGATTATCCCATTTGGAAGCTCAATGGTTGTTGGAGATGGCCAGAAAATAGCATGAAATGTGACTGGTTCGTGAGAAAATTGGAAAACTCGCTGGAAAGTGGGTAAATTTTAAACGTTTATAACTTCTTCAATATTCAACGAAATCAAGTGATTCAAAAATAAAAATCATACTTCTCAACGAGAAGAAGAGAATGGTATCTTTTTTGACACTAAATTGCCATGGTTTGGCTGGAAAACGGCTCGAAAGTGGCCATCTTGTTCTCGAGTTAGCCACTTTCGATCCGTTTTCCGGCCAAACCAGGGTGAATTAGCAGTAAAAAAAAAATGTGACATTCTCCTTGTCTCGTCGAGAAGTATGATTTTCATTTTTGAATCACTTAATTTCGTTGAGTATTGAAGAAGTTCTGAACGTTTAAAGTTTGCCTAGTTTCCGACGAGTTTTCCAGTTTTCCTCAGACCAGTCAAATTTGAGGCTATTTTTCGGCCATCTTCAGCAACCAATGGGCTTCCAAATAGGTATAATCTTATTCTACACTTTCCTATCTTCATTTTGATATATTATGGGTTGAATTTGGTTAAGAAACGATTGAGTTACGAAACTTTGAAAATTATCCAAACTTCCGGCCAAGAGCTCCGGGACACTTAACGGAGTTTTTAATGGAAGGACCAAAACGATGGATGGTGGACAATCTCAGGGATCACTTTTATTGATTTGAAATCTCAAGGACCAAAGTGATGTGTTATGCAAATCTCAGGGACCATTTTGGCTATTTAGCCAACCAAATATAAGAAAAAAGAGAAAGAAAAAGGAAACAAATAGGGAAAAAAAAGGCTTTGCCATGGTATAAAAAAAAAACTATAAGATTTAAGTTTATATGACTTAAGTGGGATTAGAAAAAAAAAAAAAAAAAAAGAGAGAAGAGAATGATAACAAAAATAATTTTTCAAACAACATGTTTATGAACCATTACGTACACCCATTGTTCAAATGGTTGGCAATCCAGAATTATAAATTTTGTAAAGTGTGATTATGTAAAGCATCAAACTAAATTTGTATATTCCGTACTGGATGTCAATAATCTTCTCTGTATTTATTTGTTCCAATTGGTTAACGACAACAAACTACATAACAGTAAGAAAAAGCAAATTTTTTGTTAGCCTCAGTTTAAATATTTAGTGTAACATTACCAAAGTGTTGGAATCTGGTTGGAATGCTTTTGGCAAATGAGTTGGCCAGTGGTTAAATCATTGTGCATATGTTTTACATAGTTTGGGCAAGCACTGTACCACCAATCAAAGCGCATGTCGAAACGCTTAATAGATGCTTTGCACAAAAATGCGTCATCCTGTAATATGTTTTTTTTTTAACACATTTGTAACAGTCAGAACAACAACATAATTAGTTCTGCTGAAAATGTTAAACTTGAATCGTTAAATTTTGATACCTTGTGCAACTCCGGATCCAAAAACGCCAATTCATCAATCGTAACCCTTCTAGCAGTTTGCAAAATTGCAGCTTCATTTGCTTCTTTTGAAAGGGGGAGCACTTTCAAAGGTTCTTTGCAATCAAAAAGCTTGTAGGCATCAAAACATTTAATGAGTTTAACAATTTAAAAAAAAAAAAAAGCCACTCTTTACAAAAATAACCAACATAGCGCTTTTTTGTTTTAACAATGAGAAATACACTCACATTGACTTACACGCATTCACTTCGGGGATGTTTGGATCAATAAAAAAAGGGACGAACCAGTACTGTTCAAAACGATCTTATCTGCACATTGGAATGATAGTGTAGAAAACAAAGAGAAAATATTAATAAAGGTCGCTGATTACATTTTGTGACAAAAACTATACAATAGAGATAATCGATAATACACAAATACTCAATTGTTTAAAAAGTTTTCACAAAATGGTGGCACAATGAACTTTAAGATGTGGTGCATTTCAAACCAACTAACTCATTCCTAACACAATATTCATTGTTTTCTAATCGTTAATGAAAAACCAATCCTGATATCTACTTAACAGACATGGTTGAATAAAAAAGAAAAGAAAGTAAGAAAGCGATTAGCACCAATCAGTAATGACTGATATGTTAAGATACTTGTAAATTAATTGACAAAGAAGAAGGAAAACATATAATGACAAATCAGAGCAAAGACAGATAATAAAATTGCAGAACGATATCACATTCAAAGAATTTAAACGAAACAACATTTGCACAGATGAAAATAAACAATGAAAAATAAGTTTTAAGAAAACAAAATACCCAAGTAGAGCTTCATTTTCAGACTTGTGAAAACAACAATTGGCAAAGAAAACGCGTTTGTTGACAAAGAAGAAAACTCTTCTCCAATGTCTGCCCACAACGTGACCATCAGTTGTTCTTTCCTGGTTGACAAGGGGAACAACAAATAAATTCATCACTTTTTTTATAGCAGCAAATTAACAAATATTGAAAACAACTGCAGACAACATCCATTCAAAACAAAAAATAACCTTATATTTTCAATACGGACATCACACTTGTATGCAATCCTCTGATTAATCTGTTTGGGTTCGAGAGATTGTATAGCGCTTATACGACCAATGACATCTAATTATTTAAAACATAAATAGAGGCAGATCGTTAAAAGACCATTTTGGAAAACAAATATAAACCCTTGTTCATCGGTGGTGAATAGAGCTCTCCTAATCGATTCCCTCTTCTGTTTATATGATTGCTCAGTGGTTTTAGCTGTTGAAGTAGAAGATGAAACAACGGTGGAGGACACTGTGATTTCTCTTGACAAAGGCTGTGGAGTCATTGGTTGCATAGCCATATCCTCAGTCACATTGTGAATGAGCACATCGTTTGAATTAAACGTATTCCTCATGTTGCCAAATCGCAGGTGAAAAATCTTCTTTTGTCCAATAAGCCTGAGAAACTCGTTTGGTAGTTGTCATTGCTCACCAGTATTCATTACCAGGTATTTGCAGGGCTTGCCAAAAAGTTTCTTGCCACATTTACCGAATTATTAAAGCATTCATTTGTTTCATCTTTGAGAATGAGATTGACTCAATACGTAAAAGAGTAGAATGAAAATAAATTACACACATGTAGTAATATAACAATCGTAAGTAACCAAATAGGCCAAATAGCCAAAATAGTCCCTAAGATTTGCATAACACATCACTTTGGTCTTTGAGATTTCAAATCAATAGAAGTGGTCCCTGAGATTGTTCACCATCATCGTTTTGGTCATTCCATTAAAAACTCCGTTAAGTGTCCAGGAGCTCTTGGTTGGAAGTGTGGGCAATTTCAAAGCTTTCGTAACTCAATCGTTTCTTAACCAAATTCAATCCATAATACATCAAAATGGAGATAGCAAAGTGTATAATAAGATTATACCTATTTGGAAGCTCAATGGTTGCCAAAGATGGCCGAAAAATAGTATGAAATGTGACTAGTCCGTGGGAAAACTGGAAAACTCGCCGAGAACTGGGTAAACTTTAAACGTTCATAACTTCTTCAATACTTAACGAAATCAAGTGATTCAAAACAAAAATCATACTTCTCAACGAGACAAAGAGATTGGTACCTTTTTAGACGGCCAAACCACGATGAATTAGCAATAAAAAAAGGTACCATTCTTTTCATCTGGTTGGGATGCTTTTGGCAAATAAGTTGGCTAGTGGTTAAATAATTGTGCATCTGTTTTACATAGTTTGGGCAAGCACTGTACCACCAATCAAAGTGCATGTCAAAACGTTTAATAGATGCTTTGCATAGAAATGTATCTCCTGTAATATGTTTTTTTAATACATTTGTAACAGTCAGAATAACAACATAATTAGTTTTGTTGAAAATGGTAAACTTGAATCGTGAGATTTTGATACCTTGTGCAACTATGGATCCAAAATCGCCAATTCATCAATCGTAACCCTTCTAGCAGTTTGCAAAATTGCAGCTTCATTTGCTTCTTTTGAAAGGGGGGAGCACTTTCAAAGGTTCTTTGCAATCAAAAAACCTGTAGGCATCAAAACATTTAATGAGTTTAACAATTAAAAAAAAAAATACCATTCTTTACAAAAATAACCAACAGCGTTTTTTTGTTTTAACAATGAGAAATAAACTCACATTGACTTCTACGCATTCACTTCGGGGATGTCTGGATCAATAAAAAAAAGGGACGACTAGTACTGTTCAAAACAATCTTATCTGCACATTGGAATGATAGTGTAGAAAACAAAGAGAAATTATTAATAAAGGTGGCTGATTACATTTTGTGACAAAAAATACACAATAGAGATAATCGATAATATGCAAATACTCAATTGTTTAAAAAGTTTTCACAAAATGGTGGCACAATGAACTTTATGATGTGGTACATTTCAGACCAACTAACTCATTCCTAACACAATATTCATTGTTTTCTAACTGTTAATGAAAAACCAATCCTGATATCTACTTAACAGACATGGTTGAATAAAATAGAAAAAAAAGTAAGAAAGTGATTAGCACAAGTCAGTAATGACTGATATATTAAGATACTTGTAAATTAATTAACAAAGAAGAAGGAAAATATATAATGACAAATCAGATCAAAGACAGATAATAAAATTGCAGAATGATATTACATTCAAAGAATTTAAACAAAACAACATTTGCACATATGAAAATAAACAGTGAAAAATAAGTTTTTAAGAAAACAAAATACCCAAGTAGAGCTTCATTTTCAGACTTCTGAAAACAACAACAACTAGCAAAGAAAACGCATCTGTTGACAAAGAAGAAAACTCTTCTTCAACGTCTGCCCACAATGTGACCATCAGTTGTTCTTTCATGTTGACAAAGGGAACGACAAATAAATTCATCACTTTTTGCAGCAAATTGACCGATATTGAAAACAACTGCACACAACATCCATACGAAACAGAAAATAACCTTATATTTTCAATACGGACATCACACTTGTGTGCAATCCTCTGATTAATCTGTTTGGGTTCGAGAGGTTGTATAACGCTTATAGGACCAATGACATCTTATTATTTAAAACATAAATTGAGGCAGATCGTTAAAAGACCATTTTGGAAAACAAATATAAACACACTTTAACCCATGCATACATACATATTAACAGTACCTGTGAAAATGTCAGCCCTGTTCAAGCGAGGATACAATGTGTTATACTCTTGAAGAAAAAATCGTTGGTGAAGGATATGCGGGAATACAGTCACTAATTTTTGAAATACTATTTTCGAGCTGAACAAAACCTGGGTTTCATGTAGCACTACCCTGTATTGTCCCCTAATTCTTATAGTCCGAAAATCAATTATTTCATAGCATCCACCTGCTTCAATTTTGGAAGCCACAAATGTATATCCCTCCACTGCATGTTGCTTCACATTGTATCAATTAAATTGTTACCACAACGAAACCAAACAGTTAAATTATTTCAAGCAAGATGGAAAGAAAAATCCAAGGCTGTACAAAAATTTGAGAGAAAAAACACCACTTGTTAAACATAGTGAAGAAGTCGAAAAACTGAGAAAAAAAAACAAAGAGAGAAAACAGACGGTCAATGCACACATTTCGCTAACCATAAGACAACTAATTTAATCATGAGACATGTAAAAAACTATCCCAACACGAACATTATTTGCTAAGTTAATTGTCATTGTTTGTACTTTTTATTAAACTAATCAAACAATTATTTCTCACTGCTTCATCAACCAATATACAATGCGGGGCAGTGTACTTCTAAACAGTTCTTAGAATCGTCGATTTCCAAATTCTGTATATCCGAACTTTGATTTTGTCTGCCTTTGTGTATGGTCTTAATTAATCAATAGGAGTTGGACGGATGTTCTCCATTTATCCTATGAATAAAAAATTGTAACGACACACTAGAAATTCCCATAAAACCACAGAAAAAAAAAACAATAAAAGTTATAAACGACTCCAGAAGCTACAAATAGAAAATAACAACCCAAACACATAACCAAAACAGCTAACATGATGGCCAAAAAAGGGAAAAATTTAAAGCAAACGATGTAAAAAAGTGGAAAAAAATTCAAACAAAAGATGCAGATGACACCTATTCAATAGCTACATAAGAATTGAATAAATTGAACACCTTCAAATGTAATATACAACACAAAACACATAGGTGGATTGCAGATCCCTCCAATCACACCGACAAATAACAAACAATTTTCATGAAAACAATGGGATACCTTGGTTTTAACATCAACATCAATACTTACATGCAAAAGATTACGAAATGTTGGGCTATTTACATGCAAAATATGTTAATAAATATTGTCATTTACATTGATAAAATATGACAAAAATTGTTCAACGGAACAAAAAAAGTTCCCCACAGTACTCTTGATTGTCAAGAAAGTAGTTTAAACCAATCGAAAGACCTAAATTCTTTCAAAGTTCCATGTGTATGTAGTTTCTCTAAATCAACTAGCTTCTCCATTCCAAACTATCCAACAAATATTTGACAACAATACAACCAATCACCAACAAACATTTTAAACCCATCCAAGAACAAAACCCCTTCAGATTTCCATGTGTATTAATGATTTTTAGCTAAATTATTTGGATATGGGAGAGACACATAGCATAGGAACCAAAGAAGACCTGCAAAAGCAAGTTAAGAGATCATTGTATCACAAAAGCAAATTACATAATAAAATTAAGAGAGCATAACAGAATAACCAAAGTCTCTCTGTCTCTCTCTCTCTAACTTTCTGAAAACCTCTAGCAAGCAGCCATGGAAAATGTTGCCGATTTTGAGTAAAAGACATGGTCATTAAGAAATACGACCTAAAACCCCTAAAAGCCTCTTTGATTTCTCAATTTAGACAATCAAACACAAAAACACAAAAATCGTTTCTCTCTTCCCAGTTTAGTCTCTCATCTTCCTGTGACCCCTAACAAAATAACCAAACTCTCTATCTTGCTCCAACTTTATGAAAACCTCTAGCAAGCAGCCATGGATGATGTTGTTGATTATGAGTACAAGACATGGTCATTAAGAAATACAACCTGAAACCCCTGAAAGCCTTTTTGATTTCTCAATTTTTGACAAACCCCTATCTAAATTTTCCATTTTCTCCCCTAGTTCAAAAACTGAAACTTGAGACCTCTTTCCCCACAGGCAGCGACTCCTCCTAGAGCTTAAAACGCAAAAATTACCCAAACAAACATCAAAAAATTTAAACCACGAACCAAAAAACCAACAAAGTCTAGATCTCTCTAAACACAACAGAAAAAAAAACTCGTTTTGCAAACTAACACAAAAATCTACAAACGAAGATAAAAATGCAAAGAAAATCACATACCATAGAGTTGTCTGACGAAGGAAATAGCTGTGAAGCAAGAAAAGCATAGTTGAGAAGACAAAAACACAAAAGTGCGGCAAAGGGAAGTAGACAATAGAGAACAAAAGGAAAAACAAACGGAGAGCGACAGAGAAGTGGGAACGGGAATAAGAAAGCAAGCAAAATGAAAAGGAACCAAAATAAAGCCCAAAAAGAACACAACACGATGACCAACACGTGGCACTGTCAGTTCTCACCTTCTCCCTGCAACACATGACACAATCATAAACCATAAAAAAGGCGAAGGGCATTTCAGCCAGCTGAAAACAACCTACCTAGCGGGGGTAAAAATGACATTCAACTGTAGAAAACCAAGTCAGCAGCGCCAAAACCCCAAACAAATCAAGGACATTTTTGCCTTTTCACTATTGCTAAACTGTGCCCGGCTCAATCGCTTTTAATATGTATAATATTGCAGCTAGGTGTAATAAAGTGAGAATTTTTTTATACAATATATTTACGTTAAGTATTGGCGAAATAAATTTAAAAATATAATAAGAAGCTTAAAAGTAAACAAAATATGAAAAAGGATAACTCATGGAGATTTGTGTTTTTTTTACATCAAACTAATATATGCCCACACAAAGTGTGAAATTTTTTGTTTTTGTTTTTAAAATTGAAGAAGAGAGGAAGAGAATAAGAGAGAACGTGAGAGTGGGGAGAAAGAGAAGTTTATTTATTTATTTATTTTTTAAATAAAGATATTAAAATCACTTATAAGTGATGCTTAAACAAAAAACTAGCAAAATTTTGTTTTATGAAATTACATTACTGTCCTTAATTTTTGCTGTTGTGATAGAATATTAAATAATCTTTTTACCTTCTCTTGATTGACAAAGAGGATTATATTAATATATAGTTTAGATTAATCTGAACTATCCAGAAAGGAACTCAAAACTGGATACAAATGAGAGAGCACAATACCACATAACAAAGGACACTTTATACTTAAGCCTAATTTAGTTTAACAAAACTTTTTCTATATTGAAATAAAACAATGTATTTACATTAACGGGTAAATAATTTAGATCGTAATATTAAATGACTGACTAAAACAAAGTTATAAGCATTTCAGGGTTATCAAAACACTTGTTAGATGCACTTGAATTTTTAATAGGACTTCAACGTGATTATAATGAAAATACTTTTACAAGTTTTACTAGAAGCACTTTTGAAATAACTGAAAACATTTTTCATAGAAATATTTTTGGAATCAATACTTAGTAAAAAAGCAAGTAAAACCTAAAAACGCTTTCACAAAAAGTAATTTCAATCATTTTAAAAATACTTCCAAACAACTATTTTTTTTTTCCTGTAGACAAGCATTCTCAAATGAAAAACAAAAAACAAAAAACAAAAAACAAAAGAAATTACCTCTACTTTTGCTTTGTGTTTTTATTATGTTACCAAAAAAAGTTACCTCTAATTTTGTTTTGTGTTTTTATTATTTTTAGATCAAAATTTGAAATACAGCTTCTTGGTACGCTTCGTCTTCATCTCCACCCAGATCCCTGTGTTGTCTCCTATTCTCCCAGAAATCAGCAACCATACTCACAACGATGATGGGAAGGAGATGTAGGGTTTGGTGGCCAAAGCAACTCTCATTGAGGAAACCATCGTCATCATCCTCCAATTTCTTGCTTGGTTGGTTCGTTTCTTCCTCTCCGTCTTCTCTCGACGTCGTCGTCGCTTTCGCCTGCAATGGGCTTGCGCTTTCTGGTATCCAATCAACCCTCCAGGTACATAAACGTCATCAAATAATCAATGCGAATCAGATTTCGATAATTTATATCTGCAATTTATGTGGTTTGGTTTCAATCTGCTTCTTTGTTGATTGAATTTTGGGATGCAATGAATTTTTGCTTATTTTGTAGGGTTTGGGAAATTGGTACATTGAAATCATATATTGTTTTCAGGGAATTCTTCGCGACACGAATGGAAGGATGCCTGTGTTGCTTCAGGATAAGTCTATGATGTGTGTATTGGGTCAAATTTTTGAGGACCAAATAGAAGAAGATCAATCTCTTTCTTCTTGTAGGTGCCACAAGCTCAGTGGATCAGTAGGACAATGTAGGGAAAATTTCAAGGGAAATGGTTATTGGATTCGGATGTTATGTGATCCTCAAGAACATATTGGAAAGGACATTACTTGGATTCCTAAACTGCATCACGTTCACTGGAATGGGAAGTTCGTGTCTCGATGTGATGTCCACGTATGTAAGTCGTGAATGCTTCAATGGCATGTGTCGGACTTAATTTAACTGCTATCTTTTATAGTTGATCATCATGTTTATTTTTTGGTGATTAATATCCTGTTTTTGATTTGATCAAATTTAGCTAATATTATATGAGACTCCTACCTATGGTGCCCACCATTTCTCATTACATCCTTGGAATTCATTTGAGCAAGTGAGTGCGCCTATGAGAAAACCCAAATGGGTTGATGAACTTCACCAAAAGCAACCACTCCTTGATTTGGTAAGAGTATTGTAAGAATTCTTTTGTAGATTAGGACTTTTCTTTGTTAATACACTGATATGCTATTTATATTCTTTAAATGCAGGATACAGTCATTCTGGCAATTAATAGCTCCGCTACCGCTGAAATTGTTTTTGAAAAATGCATAGGTCCCAAGACGTCTTTTGTGTGCTTTTCTACTGTTTACATGTATCTATTCACACATTCAGCCTCTCAACTACTTTTCCTTTTTATGCCCGGCATTATCTGCAGTATTTAAATGCCCATTATGTGGCTTTTCAGGTTTCTGGGCTTCGCATGGCAACTATTCGCCATGTCTGTGGCTTCAATATCCACTTTATTCTATGTTGTTCTTCAGTTTCTCTATAGCCTTCTGAATTATGCATCAGACTCATGGATAAACCTTATATTAGTAAAGGTATTCAGCAGCTCAAGGATAAATATCAAAATCCGTGGTTCTCAGATCTTGTATTGGCCAATCTTTCTTCAATATAATGGAATGAGGTAAGACGAAAATTTTAACTGCAAATATGGAATATGTTTTGAATCCTGTGGAGTTGTCTGACTGATAAGTTGGGCATTAAATTCCCTTTCATTTGCATTCTAATTTTGGATAAAATTTATAAATCCAAACATGTTATTAGATTTCGCTTCAGTTTGGTTTATAAGAAATTTTTCCTATTTATAAATTTTCTACCCTGCAAGTGTTCAGGGTTTTTTATCTGTACTTTGTTGACTGAAATTTAGGTTTGTTTAAGACCATGATTGACCCGTTTACCTGATCTCTTCCATCAACTACTTTACTGCATTGACAATAACCCTTTCAACTTCTCTTGTGTTACATGTAACCTTTTATATCCAATAGACATTTACTGAAGAGTTTGTTTCGTATTTTTCATCACCATTCTTGTGTTCCGTCGCCGTTTCTTTCTTTCTTTCTGGTAGTTCCATCGCCATGACTTAAGAAAAGACATGGAGCTAGAGGATGACTTGGTGCAAAACTGAGCGCGGTGGTGTTCTAGGATTCATATAGCTAACTTCACTTAGTAGGATAAGACTTTGTTGTTGTTGTGGTAGTAGGCTCCTCTTATTTCTTTCCTGAATAAACTGCAATTATTTCATCACCTTATTCTGGATTTGCAAGGTCACTATCAAGTGTGGAATACGCGGAGAAAGCTGCATTGCATAAGCATTCCATGTGGTCAAGTTTAGCTGTTGATGTACTTCTGGGAAACTTGTTTGGTTTGGTACTGTTGTATCATGCAGAATCTGCTTGCATATGGATATTAAAATTTTCCAGTGACATTACAAATGAGTTATTGCGCTCAGGCTGTGTGTGGTTGATGGGGGTACCTGCAGGTTTTAAGTTAAACAATGAATTGGCAGAAGTTCTTGGGATGATTTCTTTAACTGCTATCCAGATTTGGTCTACCATTTGGATCTTTTTGGTGTCCCACTTTCTTTATTTCATTAGAGGACTTGCCATATCAGGAATCATTTTGGGGTCACTATACCTGCTGCTTTGATAATCGACTTGATTGCACTAGCAACGTTGCATGTGTCTACTCTTCATTGGTTGATATCGCTTTTATATTCAACTCAGATACAGGCATTAGCAGCTCTGTGGCGCCTTTTCAGGTATTATTTTGTGATGTCTTGTTCTTCCTTTTTCAGTTTTTAAAACTTCACATGACACCAGCTGCAGTAACAAAATACAGGCCGTTTTTACTTTTTTTGGTTATTGTATACATGCGATAGGGTCATTTTTCTAACCAACCTATTTTCTATCCCTTAAGACATGTCATATGCTTATTCAGGACCTGCTGGTTGGACTTGTAGGTCTTTAATACATAGTTCTTCAGTCAAATTACACTTGTAGTTCCTGCAGTTTTGCTCATTTTGCAATTCCCTGTACTTGAAATATGTTTTAATTGAACACTGGTATTTTGATTACATTTGCAATCCAGGACTAAATGTAGATCAGTCTGGCAACGTGAAAATTATATGATACGTATGTTTAGAGACATCTACCTCCTTGCCACATCACCACTCCGTTAATTTATTAGATGCAGTTGTTTTGTCCTCAATTTGCAAATGTAGCAAAGGGATAGGCATGAAATTGAAAAGATTTAGAAGCACAGGGATTTATGTGGAAAGCAGGCTAAACTACAAGGAAAGTGTGACTTGACCTGGTTCTGCTATTAGCCAACCTTCTAATAAAGAGGCACCTCTGTTCCTGATTACTGTCGTTATGGAACTTTACTCGTTGGTTTAACCTTGACCTTTTTATTTGTCTAGCTAGTTGCTACTGTGCTTTTATATGCGGATTTGATTGTACGGTAGTATTAGATTTTCCATATATGCAGCTGCCATCTGCAATAAGAATGCCCATAATACTAAAAAATGAAATTGGAAACCCCGTAACAATTGTGCTTTGAAGCATAATATATGTTTTTATGTATGCAGTCAAATTTTACCACAGTACTATCTCTTGCATCAGTCCGACAGCATGTTACTTTCAAGTGCATTGCATTTAGGCGCTTTACTCTGTTCGCACTTTATTACAACATATCGACCTAGTTACTTTCAAGTGCATTGCATTTAGGCGCTTTACTCTGTTCGCACTTTATTACAACATATCGACCTAACAACTAGCGTGCACTCAAAACTGCAGTCACTTTATTAATATCACCTCTTGGTTCCCGTAACTAAGATGTTAAATATTTGGATCCGCTAACTTTGTGTACGTTTCCCTTTATAATAAAAGTATGCGTAACATCCTGTTTCTAGAAGAGATTGCTGTGCTTTTTATATCTATTTATCTGTTGATATACTCATATATGTATGTAATAACGTCTGTATGTGTTCTGAGAAAAGCTCCCTTTTTATCGCGCACCTGGCCAAAATTCAATTATAAATTTAGAATTTCAATTGTATATAGCTGAAGGTAAGTAAAATATGTCCTTTATCAGTAATTGTTTTGCTGTTTTACTGCATCTAGGTGCTCATGTACTTACTGGATGTTTTTCAGGGGCCGAAAGTGGAATCCTCTTCGTCAGAGATTAGATAGCTATGACTACACTGTCAAGCAACACATCGTTGGATCTCTTCTGTTCACACCACTCCTACTTCTATTACCGACAACTTCTGTTTTTTACATCTTTTTTACCATTATGAACACAACTATCAGCCTTATGTGTATACTGATTGAAGTCACTATATCTTTCATTCATGCCACACCATATATCAAAATTTTCCTTTGGTTGGTGAGGCCGAGAAGATTTCCATCAGGTATATGGTTTGAAATTGTATCTGTTTGGAGTGGTGGAATTGATTCTCCTAGGGATATTAATTCACTGTCAGAGAAACTGCAGCCCGGAAGGGCCTCACCGGAGAAAAATCATCTGTGGTGGTTTCATTTCTTCATAGTAACTTCTTGACTGTAGGTGAGAGCTTGATCTTTGTTTAGTGCATTAGTGATATTTCTGTAGTTTGCTGTATATTAAGTCTGAAAGTTTCACATGTTAATTACTCGGGCTTGGCTTTTCTCGTAACTATATTGATGGAATATATATACCAGGACAAATAGTCATGCCTCACTACAAGAAGGTTCTTTCTGGGAAACCTCGGACATTGGTTGCCACTGCAGCTTATGGAGTACTCACTGGCAGACGGTGAGTTGAAAATTGAATTCAAATTTGATCGTTTTCATGGCTGTTTTAATTTTAAATTTTTAATAAATTGATTCCAGGATTCCATCTTCAATTGGAACTGATCTTCCAAAATTTCCGTGGATGCTGATCTCCTACAAAGAGTATTGGCGTCTCTGCCGCGATTCAGTTCTTCTATGCTATAGAGCGTGACATGTAGCCAGTCTTGCTGCTGCCAGTTAACACCTAACTGAACCTAACCTGAAATTTTGTTCTCCCATGTAAACCAATTTTTCTGTTCATTGATTTGTTTAGGACCGTACAGGCAACATATCCGATTCAATTTTGAAGGATTGTAGGATGAAGGTTTTTTTTGGTAAATGAAAACCAAGTTATTTTTTAAATTTGTTATAGTTAATTCATCTGTTTCATCTAAACTGTCTGCTCTGTTGCGTAATTGACGTGATTCAAGTCTCAGGCGATCGGAAGTGTGCTCTTGGTGATAGATCCCAGTTGATTCTGACCTAAGATAATTGATAACAGGTGTGGAGGGTTCAACTGGGATGAATCGAGCTATAACACTGCTTGTCTCCTTTCAGTGGGATCGTCACCTGCAACTGCAAGTCACGGGCTGACGCCCATATGCCCGTACAAAGATAATTGATAACAGGTGTGAACGGTTCGGTCGAGAAAAAAATGTGCGGGGGAGAATTTCCATTGCACTAACATCGAGTGACAGAGCTATTGTTGGGCTTGGTTAGGCCACAATTCAGCCGGCAGAGAGCTAACTGAAAAGCAGACAGTAACGTTACCAAATGGTATTAAACTTGGAAGCTTCATGTTCTGCCTAAGTTGCAGATCTCAAGTGTAGACCAGTACTTTTGTAAGGAAGCAAAACCCACACATTTCAAAGCTATGATTGCTGCATAAAACTGAGCTGATGCCGACCTACATTTATTCTTGTTTTGTTTCCATGTGCGAAAAGCTTACTATGCTCTAAATCAAAAGATAGCTGGACGCGTGGTTAAATCTCCAATTTTTGTGTATTTTAGTTTTTGAAATTGTGAAATGACAAAAATGCCTCTTAAGGTAATTATTGACTTTTTGTCGACTTTCGTGCTTGTGATACATATGAGTGTTCTAAAAATCAGCCTAGGCGGCCGCCTAGGTGTTAGACAGCGGTTAGCCGCTCCGATTAAGGCTAAAATTTCAGAAAAATTGGAAAACTCAATTGGCAGATAGGCTGCAGTAGCCTAGGCTGGCAGGACAGTGCTTGGCGGGCTGCCGCCTTGCTGAGTTTTTATGAAAAATTGGAACGATATCTTCTGAGCTCCTAGGCAACTACAATGAAAAACAAATATGGCAGCACCCGAGAAGAGAAGAAGACGATGAATAGCCTTCTTACAAAAGAACCTAAGCCAAACAACGACGTTCCATTTGTTTTTCCGTATACAAGAACCTATGCTAAATGACGACCTCACTTATGTTTAGCCATCTCAAAAGGATATGTCAAATTCTAAATGGAATGTCACACAATCAAATTTAAAGGTAGAAAGAAGCTTCAACCGATATGTTAACCTTCATGGATTGATATATGAGTCGTTTGCTGTCAAATTTAACATATGAAAAAGTGCTGTCAATTAATTATTTAACTATTTTATTGTGGATCCCATTAATGCTACAGTTATAATTCTTGAAAAGTTATTTTAATTGATTTCTTTTTAAAAATAGGTCATACAAATATTATTTATAACAAAAAACATATGGGTTAGGCTAGCCCATTATGAGGCTAAGTTCACCCCTTCCTCTTAGTGTAGATAATATCGTTTGTGAAAAAAAAAACATATAGGTTAGAGTACAGAAAATTTGACATTGCCACATCAATTATCAGATTAACATTTGACATTTATATTTTGGAATCTCCATTAGATTTGCTCTTTTATGCTTTTAAGTCAAAAGTTATTGGACTTGTCCACCCAATATGAAAAGTCCAAAATGAACTTAATGAATCTATATGGACCTTTGGCCATTTCTAAGGTGCAGACCTTAGAAACGGACCTTGCGTGCGGACGAGAATCAGACGATCTTGATTTGCTAATCTCACGGTAGAACTGGATTGGTGTGATCTGTTGGAATTAAATTATTTTTAATTTTTTTCTTCACTATGTATCTTTTATTTGGAGAGAAGGGGGGGGGGGCTGAGAGTTCGCATGTTTAAGAAGGAAAGAGACGCAAAGTGTGAGCTGGGGCGAGGATTATATTGAAGGTGGATTGAAGCTGTGTTGTAACTGTGACCCAATCATGTTATACCTTTAATTTTTTTTTCTTCATTGGGCATCTTGTTGCCAGAGAGAAAGGGGTAGGCTGATAGTTAAGGTAATATTGGCGGGCCGAAGAGGGAAAAAGAGGCTGAGAGGGAGTTGAGCTGAAGAACCGATTTTAGTTGGATTGAAATTGCATTGTGGCAGTGACCAGGTAATCTTATACCTTTAATTTTTTTGGTTTACTAGGTCTGTTTTTTTGTCATTGAGAGAGGGAGAGATTAGGGTTGTCTTCGTCAGGAAAGAGAGGCAGAGAGAGGGAGGTGGTGAAGAATGTCAAGGTTCGATTTCATGTGAAGCTGTGCTTGTGTTGAAGTTGACAATGGTGGTTCATCCAGAAGCTGTGAAAAAACCAAGATTGTGAAGGTGACTTTTTGAAGAATTTCAGAACCTCTGGTATAACCAATTTCCATTCCATTTCGGTTTGTATAATTCTAGGATTTTACTTGGTTGAAATTGTGAAATTGGATTTTAGATACATATGTGCACCACTTGTGCTGGGTTGTGATAAGTTGTGTAGATTGGTAGCAGGTAGACATAGAAGTGTAATTCGATGGGGATGAGTTAGAAATAGACAAAATTGTGATGGAAAGAGAAGATGTACATGTGGGGGATCAATGTGGTGCAGGGAGGGTTGAATTAGTTTTCCAAAACGGTAGACGACGAGTTGAAATCGAAATTAGAAATGGAGTTTTAGTCATTGGATGAAGGGTATGCTTTTTACAACAATTATGCACTTGTAGCGGGGTTTGAGATTCATGAGCATAGTAGTAAAAAGTCCAGGTATGGTGAAAGTTGGTTAAGAAATTGTTTGTTACAAACAAGGCAAGAAGAGGGTGGATACTAATCCCATATCTAGTATGAAAGGTAGGCGGGGAGATGCTAGAACTGAGTGCAAAGGCAAAACTTGCGTTGAATAAGGGAATTGATTGTGAAACATTTGGTGTAACAGTTTTCAATGATTGACACAATCACCGTATGTCAAGTGCATCACACTTATTTAGATCACTTCGCTGAGTTTCAAAGGCAATGAAGGTGATGATTGAACAATGTGCATAAGACAATATTCCCATAAGTAAACAAGTGGGTTTGTTGGAGGTGCAAAATGGAGGAATTAGAAATATTGGTTGCACCCCAAGAATCTGTATAACGTTGAATAGCAATTACAAACTCATCTAATCGGGCATGATGCGAAAATGTTGAAGGAGCATTTTGAGGGTGAGAAAGAGAAAAATGATTTATTTTATTTCAAGATAGAGATTGATGAAGGCGGGACACTTAAGTATTCCTTTTGGGTGGATGCTAAGTCATGACGAGTTTATTGCCATTTTGGTGATGTGATTGTGTTTGACACCACTTGCAATACCAATGTGTATGTGATGATGTTTGCTAATTTGTTAGGAGTTAATAATGACGGTCAAACCATGGTATTGGGTTGTGCATTCTTGAAAAATGAAAAAACCACAATCTTTAAGTGGTTGTTTGAAGAAATGCTTAAAGCTCAACCGAGTGAGTTGCCAAAAGTCATAACTATAGATCAAGATGGAGTCATAGCAAAGGCTATTGTCAGCAAACTACCAACCACAGTTCATCAGTACTGCATATGATATTATTAATAAGTTCAATGACAAGGGTTGGGTTGAGGACATTTTCAAGGATTTGCATGCTTGCATATAAGATATTGAAAACAAAGAAGAATTTGAGGGAAGGTGGAAGATGTTGGTAAAAGAACATAAGCAGGTTAATAAAACATGGCTTAAGAACATTTATAAGTTGTGTGGAAGGTTCCAGCATTTTGTAAGCACGCTTTTTGGTCGGAATGTCAAGCAGTCAATGTGCCGAGAGTTGTCATTCTTTTTTCAAGCAATATGTGCATATGAAGCACTCTTTGATTGAATTCATCATTCTGATAAATCGAGCTCTTAGACGGCAATGTCAGAAAGAGGTGGTTGGTGACCCTAATGATGAAAACCGTGCCCCTCCATTGCAACTTTGCACCTCAATGGAAACTCAACTGGCCCAATTGTACACACGATTTATGTTCGAAATTTTTT